CTCCAGACATAGTATATACAATAACCCTCATTGTCCATGTGCATTAAGGGTTAATTAAACTCACTGCCTCGGTCAGATTAGCATTTGCTCCATTCTTCAACAGAACATCAACTGTCTGCTTGTGTCCATTCTGACAGGCCATATAGAGTGGAGTACAACCATCCTGAGTATAGGAGAAAGTGTGACAGATAGATATACAGGAGAAAGTCAAATGTGATATAATTGTGCAGAGAGACATCAAGAGAGTACAAACCCTCATACAAGAGAAACACAAGCTAATACGTAACAGGACAAAAAATCATTTGGTTGTCCCTCCATTTTGTCCTGTTTCTAACAGATTATGGTTGTTGCCATGCAAGTCCCGTACCTACGTAGCACCACATACTCACATATATTGCTGGAATTATTTGTTAATAGGAAAAATATTCTTCAGGGTCCAACCAGATGGGTATAACATTGCAAAGACCAGCTATGACGTCACTAAACAGCAGTAGTACATCCAAAGTGAAAACCAGTGTGTACATAGGAATGCATAATAATGAACTCTGGTCAGCGAAGGCACACACACCGCAGTCAACTACCCATCTCTTATCAGACACCATTATCAGTTCACAGGCCCACATGAAAAACATTACTCTATATTCATGCTGTATCAGTCCACACAAAGAATCACTTGCAAGAGTGTGGAATATATTCAATTTTGTGTCTACATAAACATTACAGTATGTGAGACAGTGACCTTCTCATCGTGTTGGATACATACATTCCTGAGAATGTAGACGACGTCTAGTACAGGGGTGCGTGCTCACCAATTTAATTAAATGTGCACAGAGTTCATCACAGAAATAGATACTAAATAAATCTATGTACACATTTTGCTGATTTGTTAACCCTTGGCGCGCATGCGCAACGAGGGTTAATGTAGCTGGGTCTGTGTGCTGCTACTCACATCGCACTTTCCGTTTTTCGATGGTGTTGTTCGTCTCACAAAGGATACGACCTACTTAACGGGCAATGAAGGTCAGAAAGTTCGTGCGGTTTTCTCTGAAACTGCTCCGTTGCAAAGCTAGAGTGCGAGTGCACTTGCCACTTGGCCTATAAATTATTACTAGTACATACTTACCAAGGCATAAGTACACGTGCTACAATATTAAGTTTGAACAGTATCTTGTACATGTGTGTTTGCATCCAATCACAATTACAGCAAGATGATCAACATACTCAGAACTACACATCACATTCCTCTCTACACCAAAGGCATATAAGAGTATGTAATAACATGATACAGAACCCAGTGAACTAACAGGTGTTCCAAAGTTACACTGCCAGTCAGAAAATGTCGTACCTTGTTCTGGTAGTTGATGACAGCTCCAGCTGATATCAGTTTCTCCACAATCTCTGTGTGACCTTTTCCAGCAGCTATCCCCAGAGGAGACGAGAGAGGATCAACCTTTCATGGAGAAATGGATAGAAAACAGTTGAAGAGCAGAAGATACAGAGAGTGAACAATAACTACCACTCTTATTCATTGCACTTCAAATTAGCAAGATATATTCACGTGTACACGAGTTATGTCCTATGGTTGATAAAATTGAAATATTCAATCCTTTATTCTAACCACCATCAAAATCCCAAAGATGTTAACGCAGACCTAGAATAGAACAGAACAGAGAAACCAACATTGTTCAATTTCCCTTTGCTTTTTGACTATCACAAAGGGCTAACACTAGAGCAGACAACAGAATGTCATCCAACTGCTGCCAGGTATGCCCACTTGTTATAATGAGGAAAGAGCATAATAATTATAATTATAATGCTAATTCACCCATCAGGAGTTCTGAATATACAGAAGCTGCTAATATGCTGTATTTTATTCCCTTTTATTAGTCAAGAATACTGTGTAGATGAGTAATAATAGACTAAGAGAGTGAAACAAAATTATTATTACCAGTAAGGAGCTAGTGCAAGCACATATTACTACCAAAACACTTACTGTCGTGGTGAGATTCACATTGGCTCCATTCTTCAACAGAATGTCAACTATTAGCTTGTGCCCACCTTGACAGGCAACATAGAGTGGAGTAAAACCATCCTAGACAGGAGGGGGAAATGACAGAATGTAGCCCAGGCAGAGGTTATAGCTCCCCATGGCTATGTACATGTGTGCAGACTGATGTACTGCTAAATCTCTACAAAAGGGCAGCTAAGAGCTTCGTGGGCCATGCAGTCTCTCCCAGAATCAACTCTTGTGAGTAAAGAGTTAAAATTGTGACAGCAGTTTCTAATGCCTTCAGCTGACATGTTTAGCCTACGGTAACTATTCTGAAGAATGGCACCAGCTTAACAAGCTGGCTAGTGGCTGGATTATTAAGAAGTGATTATGTAGGCTAAAATAGTGCATATATTATAAAACTGTCTAGTGAGCAAGTTACTGGGGTGTGATTGCCTGTAAATGTGTGACAGGCCATCCACAAATATGATGTTTATTTTAACACTGTGTTTATAATGTGACGAGAAGTTTCTCCCACATATCATACTATGGAGCGGTGAGCGAGAATAGCCCCACAACAAAACAGAGAGAAGACTGCAATTTGTTACCATTGAGCACTGTAAAAAGTAGCAATGTAACTTTATTAACCCTCGGTGCGCATGCCCAGCAAGGGTTACGGTACATGTAGTGTCGTATGTCTATCCTACCGTCCGTCTGTCTGTTACTACGTCTTCTGCTACCACACGCAATGAGACAACAAAGTAACGATACTAACTGGTTCATTGCTACACTGGCTTGATATTAAAAATGCTAATTTTCGTAAAAGCACTGCACTCGAAAGTTATGGCACGAAAAGCAAGTGAACAAGTAATTTACCTCGACCAGATCAACTTGCCCTGCATACCTTTGGGGAACAAAAAGTCACAGCGAAGGTCTTGTATCGACTCATGCACACTATCTACTAGTGTAGCAAGCCCGTGTCAGACTCTCCTTATTCGTTATTTTCATGTTTATACGAGTTATGTAGAAATATTTCATGAAACTCAATCCCCTATTCTAACCACAATCAAAATCCCCAAGATGTTAACGCAGACCTAGAATGGAACAGAGAAAACCAACTTTTGTCACAGCCGAACCCCAGTCACTAGACATATTTCATTTTCCCTTTGCTTTTTGACTATCACAAAGGGCTAACACTAGAGCAGACAACAGAATGTCATCCAACTGCTGCCAGGATGCCCACTTGTTATAATGAGGAAAGAGCATAATAATTATAATTATAATGCCATCAGGGGTTGTGACTACACAGAAGCTGCTAATATGCTGTATTTTATTCCCTTTTATTAGTCAAGAATACTGTGTAGATGAGTAATAATAGACTAAGAGAGTGAAACCAAATTATTATTACCAGTAAGGAGCTAGTGCAAGCACATATTACTACCAAAACACTTACTGTCGTGGTGAGATTCACATTGGCTCCATTCTCCAACAGAATGTCAACTATTAGCTTGTGCCCACCGTGACAGGCAACATAGAGTGGAGTAAAACCATCCTGGACAGGAGGGGGAAATGACAGAATGTAGCCCAGGCATAGGTTGTAGCTCGCCATGACTCGGGTTTTGGCTCGTACTGGCAACGCCTTGTGGGGATGAATTTCATTAGTTCAAAACCACAAGTGCTGCGCTCAACTCTGCCTTTATAAACTCGTGATGCCAGAGAGAGAAGTTGCGGTATGCTTTGCTGATGAGGGCTAACAAGCCCGAAACAGCTGTCCAGAGCTCCGCATCTTTTTTCTCTTGGCATCACATGGTCTATTGTTACATGTGTGCAGACTGAAGTACTGCTAAATCTCTACAAAACGGTAGCTAAGAGCTTCGTGGGGCCAGTCTCTCCCAGAATCAACTCTTGTGAGTATAATTGTGACAGCAGTTTCTAATGCCTTTAGCTAAACCTGATAACCTACGGTAACTATTCTGAAGAATGACTACAGCTTAACAAGCAGCACTCACATTTGTCAGCTATTGCATTTTTTTATATTGCATGAAGAAATGGTCAACAAAAGAATAAAGCCACGTCAATCTACCACATCAATAAACGAAGTACTTACTACATATTTTGATGGGTGGAGGCTGGAATATTAAGAAGTGATTATGTAGGCAAAATATTTGGCCAAAGCTGTCTGGTGAGCAAGTTGAACAGTCTATTGAGCTATGAATAATTTCCTCGCCTAAAATGTGTATGACAGGCCCATTATTAACCCTCGGCGCACATGCGCAGCGAGGGTTACAGTAGTCGTTCTGTCAGTCTGTGTGTCCGCGCGAGTTCTAGCACTACAGGCTACGAGGCGGCCAATGAGTGGCACCAACGGGTTATGAACGACGAGAAAATTGATATTAATGTGGCGATTTTCCCGAAACGACTGCTTTCCAGAGATATAGCATGAAAACAAGCGAAAAAGCCAACACGCGGTCGCGATCGCGCACGCGCCCTCTCTTGCAGGCTAGCTATATAGCTATAGAGCGCGCATGTGTCATGTCAATTAATCGCCGGAGCATGCGCTACGCCACGTTGGTTGAAGTATCCACGGCCCTCTGTCAGTTTTGATCTCTGTTTTGATCTCTGTTTCCTATGGATAAACGATAAACATGTTGTGCAAGGTATGTTCGCAATGTAGTTGAAGTGGCGAGCAGTTTGTGTTGTGGCCTTGCCTTCCCATCTATAAAACGTCTGGCGAGAGCATTGAAACACAGAAGAGCTGATAGATTGAATAAAGCTAATATGAGAGCCTCTGAAACACCTGAGCTATTGCTCTAACCGCTAATGCAACTACCCTGTGTTACGGTGAGACTGGTGTTACTGGCTCCGTCGATGACGCACGGCCCAGCATACAGCGATGCTACAACTCGCTAGTTTACCGCCAAGGGTTTGCACTTTAGTGCTTTTCATTTTACCAGTAACCCAGTAACTATGCACTGAGGGGTTCGTGCTTTTCACATGTTGGACTAATGTTCAGCATAGTCCCCACAAGACAAGATACATACTCTACTGTTCTACTACAGAGTACCGTCAAAAGTAGCAATGTATATACCTTATTTGGTAGGTTTAGGTCAGCATTTGCCTCTATCAGAAGACGCACAATACCAATGTGAGCCTTCAATGCAGCATATAAAATGGCAGTTATTCCGTCCTAATGTAGATAATAAATCATGTCATTACAAGAACATACAATAAAACACATAGCACAGCATGAAGGATATTGACCATGAACCCAAAACACAAGGCCGAACTAGAAACATGAAGCCGAAGTGTTTAATGGTCTATCAAGACAAGCCTCGAGTACCTTTGTGAGTGTACACCACGCCAATTTCGTGCTTTAATTGATTTATTGTACCGTGGGCAACTTAAAGGCAATGACCAGGAACGAAGCCGCCCCCTCCACAACAACCACACATGTTGGCCATATCGAGACAAAAAGGCTCGGCCCCTTCACAGCGCCAGCTCTCCGGGTCTCTCAGTAGGCAGCAAGACGCTCATTGCAGAACACACGGCTACTATCCGGAAAACGGCTCTGAAATGGCGGGCTCCGTATTATTCTAGGAATTTTCCATGGTACAAGTTGCTTAGAACCCGGATACTGTCGGGTTTAGCCGGAAATCCACTCGAACATTATTCATACCCCCTCAGGCTACGCCCTCGGGGGTATTGATAATGTTCTGGTGTATTTCCACTAAACCTCTCCAGCCCGGATACATGTCTCGTATATCAGTATGACAGGACATACATGAATTTGGTAGCAATGTGTACACTCTCATCAATTTCTAACATAGGATTCTAAAATATCACGTTTTGCACTCCTCTGCTGAAATGGCCAGACAATTACTTGCCCCAAAAATGACTGCCTATACGGTACTGATGAGAGCACACATGTAGCTTTTCTGTGGATATGTTGTGCCTAATGAATATCTCAAGTCTTGTCACTAACTGCAATGATCCAGCACTTCCAACTTCGTGCGGAGCCGTGATCTCCCGTTAGAGTAGAAAACATTATCTCTTTAACGAGCTCGGTATACAACGGGTAGCTGTAATCACAACTAACTAAAATGACTTACGTCGATCTTTATAATTATAGACCTACATACATGAGACTAATAATCTAAAACGCAAGTGTCCATGACATACATTACACTTATTTCAGCAACATTCCATGTATATATCATGTGATAACGCGACACCTTATAAATTGGGGTTTGTGTTTGTCACATGTAGCACTCATAGTCTTCACAAGACAAGATACACACTCTACTGTTCTACTACAGAGGACAGTAAAAGGTAGCAATGTATATACCTTATCTGGTAGGTTTAAGTCAGCATTAGCTTCTATCAGAAGACGCACAATATCAATGTGACCATTCAATGCAGCATAAGAAATGGCAGTTGTTCCGTCCTAAGTGATATAATTAATCATGTCACTACAAGCACATACAATAAAATACATAGCATAGCATGAGGGCAACTGACCATGAACCCAAAACACAAGGCTGAACTATAGAAACATGAAGCCGAAATGTTTTATGGCCAATCGAGACCAGCCTCGAGCACCTTTATGAGCATACAACACGTCCCTTTCGTGCTTCAATTGATTCTATAGTATCGCGGGCGACTCAAAGGCAACGACCATGAACGAAGCCGGTTCGAGGCAGAGTGGTCGTCTCTCGCCGCGACTCAACACTGCTCTGATGCGGCGAAAACGCTCCGCAAAGGCTAAGATACAACTGCAACGACTCCTAGGGATAAGAAAGCTGCTGTTTACTAGGCTGATTCCGTTCCTCGCATCGCCCTGGGCTACAATCGCACGGCTACGCACCGACGTGGACCACCGCCAGCCTCACAGAGTGGTGATAGCTTACCTCCTAGCCCTTAGATACGCTTCAGGTATATATATATATATACCCGTGTCTCCCTCTACTGTGACTGAAAAGCCCAGTTTGGCAGTTGTTTGTAAAACCGTGTTTTCAAAACTGGGCTTTGAGAGCAAAAGTGTTCTTTTATGACGAATAAAGCACTGGCGGTGCCTTTGATCAGTCCACACAAAGTACAATACAGTGGGTCCCGGTTAATATCATACTCTGCGCGAAAGGCGTTTTTATTCTATAAAGCGGGATATTCTAGAACACGGAGCGGAAGTATTATGAGTGATTACGCAACTCCACAAAGGTCAAGGTCATGCATTACATCATCGTATATACAAAGTAACACATTGAAATAACAAACACTTAGGATCCACTTTTCAGTACTTAGGGGTAGCTACAGTTCAGTATTCGGGAGAGGGGAGGGAAAAGAAGTCTCCTGAGTGCTGGTTGTAGCAAGTAACTGCAGTAGCTGCCTTTCCAGTGTATAAAACTGCTCCAAATCAGCTCCAGATTTCTCAAGGAAGAACGTAGCCTCTCTGCGATGGCCTGCATAGCCTCCCCACGCTTAGAGTTGGTGATGCTGAAGCTGAGGTCTCATCAATCATCATCACTATCATGGTGTGATGTCTTACCATGATCATTCTTCTCTGTAAGATCTGGGTGCAGATATCCTCCTCTGTAAGTTGACCATAGGCATTCAAGTGATATGTCTAAGTCAACATAGGTTTTGAAATTCACTGATAGCATTCCAGTGGGAGGATTCAATGCCTCCTCTTCTACAGGAGTGATTTGAGCAATAAACCCAGCCTTAGCAAAGCAATTTGTAATAGACTGTGGTTTTACATCACTCCATGCAACCTTCAGCATGTGCATGGCATCAAGCATATTCACCTGGCGAGAGAGTTGAGTAACGGTGATTGAGGCTTCACCATCTAGATGTGACACAATTCTAGAAATCATGCTCTTTGGATAAAGTGCTTTTAAATTACGAATTATCCCCATGTCACACGGCTGTATCAAAGACGTGACATTAGGAGGAAGAAAACAGACAGCAACATTTGTAAGCTCAACACCACAATCTTTTGGGTGTGCAGAGCAATTATCAACCAAAAGTCCAATATGGCGATCCTGTTTTACCATATCTCGGTTAAGCTCGATCAGCCACTTGCGAAATATGTTGGATGTCATCCACGCACTTGGATTATTAGTGTGGGGAGTAGGCAGTGTAGGTATTCCTCTGAAACAACGAGGCTGGTTACTCTTTCCTATGACGAGTAATGGCCGTTTGTCACTACCGTCCATATTCACATACACCAAAACAGTTACCCTATCTTTGGCCTTTTTACGCCCATAAAGCTTATCAGTAGAAAAACAAAGAGTACAATCAGGTACAGCGCGAAAATATATACCAGTTTCATCTGCATTGGGCGAGTACTCACAAAGCAACTTGGCTATAACGGTGCTTGTCCAGGTATCGGCGGCCACAAATCTTCGTCTTTCTCTCTCGCTGGGCTTTTTTAATTTAATGCGTGCCTGGTCTTCCACCGGCAAAGCCACCCTCGTAGACTAAATCTTGTCTCGAGTACCGAGGCGAGTGGTTTGCCTTTTCCTCGAGGATTGCGGAAGTATGGGAGCGTCCCGTCTCTCGCGTCAACGACCAAGTATAGAGCTGTGAATCTACATCATCGTCTTTACTCGGGCTCTCTCCGCTACGAGTAGCAAACTTGTTTCATCTGGCCTCCTGTCAGTGATTGCGAATCCTTCGTTTGGTAATCTTGAGATATAGCGTAATTGAGCACAACTAAAACGCTAGCCAATCAGCTTGGAAGGTCGCTCTCTTCCTCCATAACAGAGACTTTTCCTTCCAGCTTTTGAGCAAGCGTCAAAGTCGGTCCTGCGTCGCTTGCTGTCGCCATTTGACAAAACTGCACGTGCCTTCAGCTTCACTGCGCATGCGCAGTATTCTATAAAGTCGTATGGAGCCCAAGTGCCATCACATAGCGCGGAGGGAACATGATATTATTGGTATTACACTATGCGGGGTGAATATATACATATATACGTAAATGGTTGGGATTTCACATTTCACAGGCGTTGATATACGTGGGCCCTCCACTGTATAAAGCAGTAAGAGAGAGAAAAACAACCTTATCTTGCGAATTAACATCGGTGTGACCAGTGAGCTCTCTCTTGACACCATCATATTCCCAGTCTCGGCAGCTTCAACAAAGCACCTTTCCTTCTTATTAAACATGATAACACAAATAGTAATGGAAATTAATAAACATATTAGGACTCACCAAAACCCACATTATCAGGTGTGAAGCAACAACCAGATTCTGTTTCGTATGAGAACATTCAAGTCTGTCCTCAGCCACTAAGGTGGCGTAGTGGAAACCCAGTAGCTTCCAGATCACAACTCGACAGCTACAAGGCTACAACTGAGTTGTTTCCTGTCCATAGCGATACAGTTTCAATACTTCAGTCATTGTTGACTCAATTGCAATACGAACATTGGAACATGTCTCCTTCGAAACACTTGCAGCAGTTCCTGACAGAGAGACTGAGGTGCTTTTTGCAGAACAGAAATCTTGAAATCACTGCAGGAGAACCAACTGTAAACTCAACACTGTTGCTGATGAAAGGTGTCGTAGTTTATCTCCATGGGTTTTGGTGTTCATTTTTGGTGTACTATTGCGGTTTATTGTGGCTCTACCGATACCATAGGGAGTACAAACCCTTCCATCGTGAAGTACGGTTTACTTCTTCCCAACACCATTGACCCTCTCTATTCATTGGCAGCATACAGGTGATAGTAGACATGGGATGTGGTCATTTGATTTGGATGACTACACATCACTAGCAGGTCAAGTGCTATCTCGACGAGAGACGATCTCTTGTTATTGACTTGATTGCAGACTACATAGTATCATGTGATTCTTCATCAGTAGACTTCAACAAAGGCTTCATCGCGACAGAGGAGACGTCAAAGCTAAGTTGACTTCTCTAATCAAAGACTGAGAATAGAGATCGACCGTACGCTGTAACAAAGATATCAGTAATTCTCTCAGAGAGAGGTAGATGCATAGAAGCATGTTCATCTTAGTTTGATGATCACATGTGGAGTGCTCAGTTTCATACAACCTTATGGCTGCTCCGACTTTATTGTGAGGAATTTGAGACAACTGGTTTGAATGACTGTTGCTCGACTCCACACTGTCGGCTATTTCCCTGGCACTGACTCAGTGAAATCATTGTCTGTCTCAGACACGTTCTGCAGGACTACTCCTGTGAACAGCCACGAGGTGGGGGCCTTCACTCTCAAATGACTGCCATACACAAGACCTTGGGTTGCCCTGCGAATCACACAGCAAAGTCCTCATCATTCTCCAGAGAAGAGAATTTGTCCAGCAAGACGATGCTGTCAGCACTGCACCTGGACAATGTTGGCTTTATACTGTGGAGTTGTGTCGGATCAGTTCAATCAGGTCTCGTTTGACGGCTTCTATTCTCTGAGGGACACCTGGTCCTTGTGTGGTGCCAATGAAGAAACACACGAACGATTCTGAACTCTCCATCTCCAGACACGTCCTGTGAGTCTTTCTTGAGCCCCGTACACCAGAACTGTGAACTGGCACACTTATCAGAGACTGACACAGCAATCCTCACCTACAGTATGTGGTGATTCATATGTGAACCGGGTCCCCATCAACAGATGGAGGTACTCCAGAGGCTGATGGAGTGAGGTCATGCACCAGATGAAGATGATTGTAGACTGTGTTGCTCCTGCGAGTCAGTAGAGCCAACAGCGCTCCTGGTACTCAGGGGCTGGCTCACTGTGTCTCTGCACAGTACATACGAGGCACTGTCTATCTTCCTGCTGAGTTGTGTTTTGTTTCATACTGATAATGGCTTTATTCATTACATTGGAGGCTGAGGGTAACTGCCCTCTCTATCGTTGCCAGACTCTTCAATGTGTGTGGAAGCTGGCACATTTTGTGCTGATCTTGCTCGCTCTGCTGCGTAGTGTTGCTGTCCTTCTGTGTTTGGCAAGACTGAGTCAGTGCCTGTGGTAATAGACTGCTCTACAAGCTTCATTTTCACCTGAGCCAATTTACTCTGCTGAAGACCCGCTGCGCGTCTGGTTTGGGTGAAGCTGGTTTTTTTTCCTGCTGTTCAGGTACTGCTGGTGCTAGAGAAATCTTGAGGTGATTCTTGTATAAGAGATGTCCGTGCTGAGTTACCAATGCAACAAATCCCTCCATTTCCTCCTCGTGCTTGAATCCTCCTCCAGGCAATTCTGAGACGTGCAGAACAAAGCCACAGCTTCCCCTAATGTCCAGTCTCACACTTCCTTCAGAACTGGTGATGTCAGTACTTGGAAGAAGTCTCTCTGGAATAATGCCCTGCAAGCGTTTCCAAAACGAGCTCTTTCCAGAACGAGGGATTCCAGTGAATACAATCTGCATCATGTTTAGCTCTGCCTCTCGCTCAGAACCTAATATGACAACATTGAGCTTCTTTGTCAGTAGCTAATAAAAATATTTATGTCAAGATAATATTATGACTATTAGTCCACCAAGGAATACGTTACAAAGACACCCTGTAGTAAAGCAATCTGCGCCATATTACATCTACTATGAGCTGTAGCCCCACCCACCAGATAATGACAATTATAAAGCAGGTCAGGAAAAATGCCAGATTTCTGCTTCGGTGTCGACTCTGGGACATTCAGTTCACCGCCACTTACTGCTGCAATGTGCCTATAACGAACGAGAGGGTTAATCTCGGATAAAACTACCTGATGACTTCTCAGGTGGCACTCGGAGGCATATCGTAGGGCCAGGGGTTGCAGTTTGGGTGGGGGCAGGAAGGACTGGAACTACACCAGTCTTGCAGTTGTTACACAGGCGTGCTCCTCAGTTGGGTGAAGTGTGGACTCAAACAAATCGCTGTCTGCTATGAGCAAGCAAGTCTACTCAGCTGTAATGGCTTAACGGTATTTATTTACAAAAAGGTTTGTTGGTGAAAATGTGGCACTCTTACCAATCAGACTGTTACACAACTAGAACACTCTTACACATTGTTATGCATCAACCATTGTGACTTGTACACCACAACTTTACACTGTATCTGCTGTGTCTCTAACGTTCTAAAATATCTAAGTCTGTGGTTTTTGTGACTGTATTCACTCGGCAATATATTCTTGAAAGCCATCAGTTTTGGGCCCAGACTAAGGACCTAACCGTCAGTTATGCTCACCGATGCTGCGGAGAGTTCAGAATG